AAAGAAAGAAAGAAAGAAAGAAAGAAAGAAAGAAAGAAAGAAAGAAAGAAAGAAAGAAAGAAAGAAAGAAAGAAAGAAAGAAAGAAAGAAAGAAAACATCCTTGCAACGAGGTTGTTGCCTTCCCGGCACGGAGGGAGTGGTAACAACGGCGGAACGAGGAGTCCCCGGCTTCCCTTCTCCCTCGTGTCGGGACCGCAGGATCGCATCGTACTGGGGCTGTTCTCTCTCTCACTTTTTTTTTCTTTTTTTTTCCCCCCTTAAAGCTAAAGAGGGGGTTGGAGCGAAATATGTGGTTTCAAATCGCCAGTTTCAGATGTGCTTTTTTTTTTTTTTTTTCCCTTCCTCGGGCCCGCGGGGTTGTTGCTATCGCTGTTTTTGCAGCGTTTGGACAGAAGCAGCAAATGCCTCTCCCCGCGAGGAGAGCCGCGCTGCAGAAAACGGGCTGCAGGGCAGCGTCGATATTCATAACGCTCACTCAGATGAAGGCTGGTTACGTAATAAGTATTATTATTATTATCATTATTGCGACTCTCCGCTGCTTATTTTTTGAAACGAAGATAAGGGGAGGGAGCGGGAAGGGATCAAGCTGGAAGCGGAGCGGGCGTCGCTGGAGGGGGAAGAACCGGCGATGTCCCGGCCGGGGCGCGCTGGGGGCGGCAGGGCCGCGCCGCCTCCTCCGCGGCTCCCTCCGCGTTTCCCTTCCGCCGCGTTAAACTCGTTCCCGGGGCTGTTACCGTTACTCGTTCCCGGGGCTGGGCGTGCGAGGAGCCTCCGCTGCCGCGCGCCTCTTCCCGCGGGCGGCCCGGGCTCCGCGGCGAGGCCGGGACTAACGAAGGCTGCGCTTACGTTTCCCTTCCCACGGCAGATCAGGTACCGGGCTGCTGGCCAATTCATCAGCGCTCCCATCTTAACTTTACATCACTGCAAATTACACCCAAACCGCATTCAAGAAGAATTTCCCCCTTCCTAAATTCTCTTTCAAGCCATAYTGAAACTCGCAAACCAAAGGCACATTTGCAGTTTCAGGGCTCTTTGCAGACGCTCACTCGACAATAATCTGGAAATTAAAACATATATCCCCATAATGGTGTCGGGCTGCGCGCACGTCGCCTGCAGAGAGCCGACGCTGACAGGTATTTTTCCGGAGCGTTTCCCTGCCTCTCCTTGTGTGGTATCTCGCCAGGACTCAATTCCGCCTCTCGGAGCGCCTGCCTCCCCGTGGGTTTTTATTACATCGCGTGATTAGATTTAAAAGTTTCGTTCGCCTCGCTATCAAGTAACTGGGGAAAACCGCACCTTCCCGGGACGAGCTCCGAATCCTGCCAAAAAATGAGTGAACTAATGGGGGGCTCTTTGCATGCCCCCCGCTCTCTCCACGGCCGTTTCCTACCGCGTTTCGAACCCCCCTCTCCCGCCCGCGCAAACTCCGGCCTGCGGCTGCACAGCGGCCCTGGCCCCGCGGCCGGGGCCACCCCAGAGACCCTCCCCGTGTCGTCGTCCCCGTTTCTGACCCTTTCGCTACTCGAAATACTTCGGTCTACGAGAAATCGTGTTGTCCCGATCACCCCACCCCGCCTTAAAAAAAAAAAATCGTGTTGCAAAAATTGCGCTGAATGTTTCGGTCTCTCGGAGTTAAGGAAAGAGGAAAGCGGTCGCTTTGGGGGATATTTCTGAGCGATACATCTGGAAGCGGCAGATGCCCCAACATGAAACACAGACCCGCTGGCCACGGCTAGTGGGGACAGGATCGTCACCTCCAGCCCGCAGCCGCGTTCCCCGGGCACCTCGTTTGCTCCTACGGGAACACGAGGAGAGGAGGAGCAGGGCAACAACAGGAGGAAGATGAGGGCAGCGAGGCTCCCTCCACCCGCAGACTCCATCCTTCCTCCACCGCCAAAAAATAAAAATAAAAATAAAAATAAAAATAAAAATAAAAATAAAAATAAAAATAAAAATAAAAATAAAAATAAAAAATAAAAATAAGTCCTCCCAGCGACCCCCGCCGAGTTTTTTCCTACCTAATAAATAAATGAACAAATACGTAATTAAAGCAATCGAATCGAGTCCGAACGGAGCCATTTGAATTGCTCGACGCCTGTTGCTTGAGCAGCTCGGGCTGGCAGAGCTACCTGTGCCCCGGGGCGGGGGCGGGGGACGGGACCGGTGCCCCCGCACCGCCCTCCGGCCCCTTCACTGCCAAATCCCCGCGCCTCTGCTCCGCGCCAAAAAGAATAAAAAAAAAAACCCCAACCGGCACAAAATACCCCCCAGAGACAAAACGGAGAGAAAAGTGGTGCGGCGAGTGCTTGGCAAACGGGAGCGCCGAAGCCTTCGGCACCCTCCTCCTCCTCGGCGCGCTCGGCACTCCGCTCGTTCCCGCAGCCGCCGCGGAGCTTCCGCCGCCTCCGCGAGCGCCCGGGCCCCGCGGCCGCTCCGCGCTCCGCCCGCCTGCTCCGCGTTACTGTTTTCACAGGGGGCTCAAGCAAATCGCATACAAGGTCACCAAATAATTAACAGTTGTGAATTCCCTCCTTGGCCATTAAAATGCTTCCCCGCTTATATTTCATTTTCCTTCTGCCAACGACAACATTGGGCGGACAAAGGCGCTGCGCGGATTGCACCGCGTTGCAGCTTTCGGTCCACCCTGAAAGCCGCTGTTCCGCACAGGCACGTTGAACTTCGGGGTGGGGATTTACGCTCATTTTCTGCTGCCACATGAACGGCCGGGCCATTTCCCGCCTCTGCACGTGGGGTCCCCCCGAACTSCTCCTGCTCCCTCGCCCCCTTGGCGCTCTGAAGGCAACCGCGAAGTCACGACGGACCCTGCCCACCGCAGCACGAAACTGCGGAGAGAAAACGGGGTGGAAAAGGGCGATTTAGGGCTGCGGAGCTTAACTTYTCGTGCGCGGGAAGGCGGAAATTTGCAGGCGCAAAGGGGAAGGCTCGACCCCCGAGGGCTCCGCTCGCCCCCTCGGGCCGCGTTTTGTTTTCGCCCTGCGCTCCCCGCCGCTTTAGGGCTCCCTTCCCTCTGCCCGCCGCTCTCYTCGCTCCTAATTGCGCCGCCGAGCCTCGGGGCCGGGGGTGCCGAGGCCAGCGCGAGCACCATCTGTGTTTTAATGAGTCACTTCATGTGCCAACAGCAATTTTCCTACATTCAGCGCGCTCCTGTCTGATCTTGCGACCGTAACAAGGGGGAGCGAGTGGGGGGCGGCAGTCGCAAACCCTCTTCCCCCTTTCTGCGCTGTTTCGCTAACGCTTTGGGGGCAGTGGCGGGGGAATAATGCGGCGGGGTGGCTTTCCTCGCTCCCAGGCCAGCCTGAAAGCGATCTCATGAGCTTTAAGGCGAAGGGAAGAAGCGCCGTGCGGAGGGGAGCAGCTGCGGGAGGCTGCGCCGAGCGGCTCCCGCCGTCCCGCCCGGGGCCGGAGGGTCCCGCAGCYCCTTCCCGCGGGCGGCTCCACGTGGGAGCAGCCACGAGAGCCCCAAGTGTCACCCAGAGCCACTTCAACGCGCCCCCCTCCGCTGCTCTGCCCCYCGAAACGCTGCAACGAAGGAGGGAGTAAGTCTGGCCACGAGTCCCGCTTAGGCGAGAGCAGCCCCTCGAAGTGGGTCACTTTGGGCGCTAAACTGTGCGCGGATGAAGCGCCAGAAACTTCCCCCGCCCCGAGCCCGCTCTCCCCGAGGGAAGGCTGTTCATCAGCAGCACAACCGCAGCTCGCCAATTAAGCGGGCTAGGAGCCCACGGGGAGGTGGGCAGCGAAACGGCTCCCACTTCAGAGGAACGGAAGCTCTCTTGAAGTTTTTGGGGATGTGCCATTGGCTGGGCCACTTCATTATGGGAGACCAGACAATATCTGATATGTTATGACATGAACACTCAATTAGATCACTGAGTTGAAATACTCCAATCAGTGGCTTGATGCTAAGCAACCCCCAGAAGGTCCAGCAGAAGGTCACAGCCCGTGACACATCAAATCAAAATCAGTGGGGAAAAGTGAGGCTTTTCCTTAATCAAACCAGCACTTCTGCTCGCAAATCACTTCCCCCGGAGTAGAATCTCCCATGCAGCAAGATGAGCTAAATTTGTTAAATTAACTGTCTTTCTTCTGGTTATCAAGAATAAGATGATCGTGAATACAGCTTTTTTTTTTTTTCTTTCCCCGCGGCTCGCAGAGTTTACTCCCCGTTTCCTTTCCTAGGAAAGCGGCTGAGATCATTTTTAGGGCTAAACTTTCCAAACCGGATTTCTAGAAAGCGAGTTCTCCCGCTCCCCAGTCCCCGCAGCGCACACGCGTGTTCTGAACGCTACGAAGAAAGMGAAGCTCACAAGGCGAGAGCAGAAGCAAATCTCCGTGTGCCCCCTCCCTGGGGGACGGGGGCGAAAGGGGCGCAACTTTGCGCGCTTCCCCGCGGCCCCCGCGGGCCGGGGCTGCCCGCCCGGTGAGGGAGGCGCTTTCCTGGCCGCGTTTTTGTGTTCGGGGGGGAGCGGAGGGGCCTTCTCAGCGCAGAAAGCGGCGCGGAGCAGGGAACGGGGCGGCAGCCACGGAGAGGGGCTGAGAACGGGGAAGCGAGAATGAGGGAACGGGGGGATGCAACCCCCGCTAGGAACCGGGGAATTAGTCAGTCCAGCGTGGGGCGYGAGCCAGGATATCGTAAAAWAATAATAATAATAATTAAAAGTTGGGGTCTGGCAGAGGCATGGGAAGGGAGTTGGTTTAGTTCTTTCCCTGGATGCCCATAGACGCCGCCCCGCTGCCCCGCTACAGCGCGAGGAAGGAAGAGCGGGGCGAGGGCATCGGCGGCGCCGGGGACACCGAGGGGACCCCGCGGCTCTGCCCGCCGGGGGCGCGGAGGTGCCGCGGGGCGCGGACGGGCGGCGGGCACCTTCCCCGGCGCGTTAAGGGGCGCGCAGGGAGCGCCGTGGCCGCGGCCGGCCCGCGCTCCGACCGCCCCGTCGGGCCCGGCGGCTCCGCGCTTTTCCAGTGGCCCCTCGGCGAGCTCGGCCGGCGCCCGCGCGAGCCAACGGGCTTCCCCGGGCGCTCTGAGCGCCACATTTGCGCTACCACAGGGGAGAGCCTTTCTCGATCAGACGGGAATGAAGAAAAATAAAGGTTTTTTTCTTTTCCTTTTTTTTTTCTTTTTTTCTTTTTTTTCCCTCGGGGACATTTACACGCCAGCCGCGCCTGTTGCTCTGCGGGCAGCTCAGYCCCGCACAAGCGTTTCGCGCACGCAGCGTTTGCGGCCGTTTTCACTCTCAACCCCAACCCTCTCACCCCTCATCCAAAGAGCCACCGCTCCGCGGCACCCCGGGGCGCGGCGCGAGCGGAACACCGCCCAAAGCGGAGCCCCCGCAGGGGCCGCACGTCGCGCGTGGCGGGCGGCCGCACTCACCCCGTCCGCGGTCTACGAAGCTCGTGACGGTGTCGGCGGCCTCGGGGGCCTGCGGGAAGCTCGCGTTGGCGCCCGGCTCGGCGGGCACGGCGTGGCTGCGGAACAGGGCCAGCATGTACTCGTGCGGCTCCGCCCGCGGCGGCGCCCGGCCCCCGCCGTGTCCCCCCTGGCGCGGGCGGCTCTCCCGGGGGGCCCGCGGC